AAACCTCATTTTCATAACCCAGGGTATTTGATGTGGCTGTACTATCCCGTCCAGCGATGCGAATGAGACGCCTGTTGTCTCAGTCATTATCCGGTAGATGTTGTTGAATTCCCGCAAGTCACTCTGTGGGGCCATCCTGACCCATCGAATGCTAATTTTCGTAACATTAACTGGATTTCGATAAATGTGAGCTTCTACTCTAAGTTAATTCGCAGACCGTATAGGGTACAATTTTCCTGCTACCGAATCGAGGTGTGCTAATACGAGTTTCTTGCTCTTACAGTAAAATACACTATATTCAACAGAAATATGATTTTGAAATGAAAAAAAGGACATAATTATCTGCCATTTTATATTACTTCCAAGCGTCATAACCGTTGCCTGTAACCTTTCTTGCCCTAAAGTGCCTAATTATTTAGATACTCTTCACACAAATTTGTTATGCATTCCTTTTATAGCGTAGCAATTTTAATGCCAACAGAGTAAATAATCCAATTTATGTAATAATATGTTTACTCATTTAATGTTGTCAATCTCAATTCCCACATGTATTTGCTATTAACCTAATATAAGAGAAATAGTTTATATTTGTCATAATAAAATTCGTAACATTCTTATAGTTAATCTGTTTACTATACTATAGTTTGCTGTATCGAGGTTTATTACGTATAAATCAACCTTTTAAATCTTATTTGCGCGGTAACGCTATACACCTTAACAAAGGATCTCGCAGCATCTTTATACATTTTTAAAGTACATTTTTAGCAAAATGTTTGTTAAATGTGTAATAAAACTCCGCCAAGGGAATGCAGGTTACTTGCTCTCGTAGAAGGTCATAATAATAATAATTAGTTAATAATTCATGGTATTTCTCATTAACTTCATTAATACGCAGTGAGACATGTTTACGAAACTTGGCAGGTATGATCTTCTTAACTTTCTAAAGATGTTAATTTATTAGAAGTTTTAGCGCGTTTAATTTGTCCTTTTGATTTAGAAACTTAATGATGTAAACAATTCTTTGTTCGGAATTCTCACTTCTACGAATATCATAAGCTATAATATTAAATTATTTGTAGGCAAAATCTAGGAACGTGACATATGAATAAACTGTTTTGTATCATAAATATACTGTTAACGTTATTCTACACTATTATTCTTTATTCAATCAAGTGCATCACATTTTCGGGAAATCTTTGCCACTAAGAAAATAATTTACATAAGTGAAAAGTGAGAATTACATGGAATTCTGTTACTATGCAAGAAATCAAAACATTTTAGAATTAGAAAATATATTGTACTTTAAAGATTCATTTTCAAAACTTGCCGTAGAAATAAGGAAGAAAAACCATTAAACATTTCCTTTATAATTCATTTTTCTAAAAGTGTTTTTGTGGAAGCTTTAGTTGAGTTGCTCTATATGTGACGAAAACAGGCTGCCATCTATTCCAAAGACTTAAACAATATCATAGATTTCATTAGAAATTATTTTTTAATTTAGAATTTATTTTAATAAATATGCTTTTAAATAAGTAATATGATATAAGAATAATGATAATTTTTTACGCTACCGGTAAATTGCACAAATGATCACATATAACTAAACAAAAGAGTGATCTTTTATTTTATACAAATTTACGAATAACGACAATTTAACATTTCATTAACTGCATTGTTAGAGAATTAAAAACACCATTTTTACTGAGAAAAAAAGGTTTGTCTACTACAAACATTTTAACTTCATTGTTAAAATATATCCTTAAAACCTTTGCCGTTAAGGGATTCACTAATTATGTGACGGGGAGTAAATCACTTTTTGACATTTTTCAACATGAACAGAATGCCATAAATTTTTCACAGTTCCCTAAAAGTCTTTCAAATCTGATGAGTGATGAATAAATTTGATAGTTTAGTTCATGTCAAATGTTCTCAATTGATTTAGATCCGATGACTGAGAGAAATCATGCCAGAAGATCAATTCTTTTCTGTTCGTAACAGGTTTTAGTCATACTTGTTGAAGGTTTTGGACTATTATCTTGTTTACAGGGGCATTTCAGTAGCATGTTCTCTTCTGCCATTGATAACACTATGTTTTCTAAGATAGCCACGTACACCTTTTTTTTTTTCATGATACCATCTACTAAGCTCACGTCATATCACGAAAAACAACCCGATAACTTATGACTGCCACCTTCTTTTTTAAGTTTTCCTTATTATCGTCAAACAACTATTTCCCATCCATTCTAAGCAAATTTACTGTTCTTTCATTGCTCCAGAGTACATTCCTTTAGAGTGCCTTCGATTTTGTATGATCGCTTCGGAATGGTAAAATTTGGCATTTTCCGATATGTATTTTCTTTTAAAACTGGACCTTCCTTGGACTTCGAGATCAGTTTGTTCACCAGGTGGGAGTTGTATTGTTCTGTCACTTACTTACATTAAGACCAGTTTAACCTTGAAAGTCTTTGGCGAACAAAAATAGTCTTTCATTGATTTTCGGAAAAGCAATTCTTTCTGGCTTGAATTTATTTTAGAAGATATACCCCTACGTTCAAGAACATTTTTGTACTTTTATACGAACGCTCGTTAGGGAATAGCCAACTTCTTTTACAATTTTTCTGATTGATAATTCATGATGTGTGTCGTTAAAAGAGTTTGTACCTTCGCGTTGCAATGCTTTACTCTATACTCTTTTTTCTATATTATTCATAAAAGAAAACCGAACATACAGTGATAGATTTCAAAATTAAACAGAAAGAATGATATTTTGATAAACCATTTACGTTTTAAAGGGATAACAGCTATTCTTTAATATACTTCATCTAATGTATTTTCAAGATAATTCAGAAAATCATTATAGGCATACAGAACGATATTATATTACGAAAACACTCCAATAATCGGTGACGACATATACATAATCTTTAAATTATAAACCTAAGGTTCGAACAATTAACATTTAACCATAAATCAAAACGCTAAACAAAGGTTATTCTTAAATTTGCTCAAAAATATAAAGCGTTAGCGGCATTCACGTTTAAATAGTTGAAATAGGTATATGAATATTTATCTTCATAGTGAAATATAAAACATTGGCAACTGCGATTAAAAAAATATGCCTTTTTATTAATGCTGGGTATTTGCCAGATTTGTTTCTAACTGAAAAATGGGAGCCTCGCGTGCTTTCCATAGTTAACTAACAATGACCAGAAAAAGAAATGTTAGTCAGCTAAATTTTAAGAACATTTGCTGCATGCAAATCAGTGACTAATATTGACTTTAGTATATTCATAGCCTTAATATTATAACATCTCCACAAAATCGATTTTCGAGCAAAACTGCGAATAATAATATTTTTAAAAAATACATTTGCTTAAATAAGTTCTGTATGCCTGTAATGATTTTCTGAACTCTATAAAAATAGTCAAAATAATGGAAAATAACTAAGGTGCAACCTGTCAAGAAATGACAGAAAGGAATTTGAAATTCAGGAAGTTGTAAACACATGCATTTGTAATAAAACTGTGGCTTTGTAAATTTGCTAAATTAGCATTTTTTTTCATATCATTATTTCCCACTGAAGTTTGTTTCATTATAGCTGTTTCAATCTCAGTCTTTCAAGATAAAATATACAGCTAATCCTTAAAAATACTGTTAACTTATAAATTAAAAAATATTTATAAGTCAGTTTCAAAATCATTTATCTAAAAGCAGAAAATGAAAATCAGAAATTTCAGGTTATTTGGTAAAACTGAAATATTAAAGTCAGTAATAATTGCTTCATAAAATGCCGTTTCGAAATCACAAGAACAAAAATTGTGAATCGAGTATTTTAATCAGTATTACGAAATTTTTAAAAACGATGAGTTTAGGAGACGTAGGAAATTCTAATGAAGTTCTCATTTCATTTGGAGTACATTTGATAATTTCTGAGATACACTGAACTTTTGCATATTTCAACGTAATTTCAAGAGCAGTTTTTTTTCAAATATATAGATAATATTAGTCGTTAAAAATGAATAAATATGCTGTAAAGTACTAGAAACCAGCTGCAAAACTTCCTGAGTATCAGTTCTTTTATTCGACCAGAAATTACAAGCTTTGATTACTAATCTAAAGGAGAAAACAAGAATTCAATAAGTCATTCAACATAGCTTAGGTGTTTCCAATTTTGCTAGCAATAAATTCATTATTCTCTAAAAATAAATTGTGAATTTTGAACTAGCGAATCATTTGCATTTCAAAATAATAATAAAAAAAATGCTTTGAATTATTTACATTACTTCAGTAAATTGCTATGAAAACTAAAAAAACAAATATCATTTTTTCAACCAATAAGAGAGGTACATTGCGCTTGAGAATTATCCAACAGCAAGAAAATATTAGCTCTCAACGAAACTGGTAAAAAAATAGCTGTCGTCGAATCTGAATATCGAATCAGATATCTGTGAATGACTTCAAAAATCTTCAGCATTTATTTGATTCAAAATTTTATAATACTTTAGAGAAATTTTATCAATCAACTAAAGAAAATAAGTAAATATTAACCAATTAATAAAGGAAATGTTTAATATAATAAGAGACAAAATTGGAGTTAAGTTTGTATTCAATTCTATTTAAGCTTTAGGCTTAAATTTTATGCTGATTTTTAAACTTCTATTTTTCTAAATAATATACATTTAAGAAAATTAGAAGTATACCATGAATATTTATTTTGGTTAAAAAATTAAAATTGTTATGTTAAAAAATTTTAAATAAAATATAATCAGTCCTGACTTTTGAAATCTGGATTTTCATTTAAGAACTACAAAATCGAGTTTCATCATTTTAATTTTCTTTACACTGTCAGTAATCCACGCAAAAATATTTATTTTAATATTGTACATATAATCATGTATTTGCCATTTATTTTACATACATTCAGAAGACTTCTTTTGAAGTTAAAAATGCAGTTGTCAATATCGGTATGATTTCTTGAGCATTAGAAGAATAGGATTTACCCGAAAGAATTCCTGCGTTGAGGAATACATGAGAGTCCCGTATTCGACTTCTGTTTGTTTGGCGAGGTCATCTGCAGAATTGATAGGCGTAACCATCCGTTCTACTGTCAGAAACGCTGCCAAATTGGCTGTATAAGACGATATGATAATAAGGGTGAAGAACCACCATACACTTCCTACAATGCGCCCTGATATCGATCTGAAATAAAGATAGTAAAATGTTAGGTTTTAAATATCGGCTCTGTGAGTGTGTGTGTATGTATAAAGGAAAATAAATATCTGGTATTTTTTTATTAAACAGTCTACTTGAAGGGAATAAACGCTGCAATGATCTAGTTAAAACCTATCAAGTTATACGTTTCCTTCGAATATTTTAGGCCCACCAGCGGCCGAGCGGTAAAGGCGCTGAACACTGGTAGTTCGGTCTGAGGTTCGAATCCCGCGAACGGGCTGGGCTGCATGGGCGTTTTCGTGGTTTTCCCCATGTGTAACGTGTATACGAGCCAGTTTCCCTTAGAAAGTCCTCCACGAAAGGCATCCCTCCCTTTAGGCAGATAGCCCTCGTGGCTTTGCCATAATTAAATACACCAACACACCAACACCACCTTCGAATATTTTAAAGTTCCAGCTTCAGTTAAAATTGTTACATACACACTACGACTTACACGAGTAAAATTCATTCTAACTGTGCATCCTGCAAGTGTTTTGGGAACTGTAATCTTTCGTAAATAATCATATTATTGTTAAATATTATCTGATATTAATTAAAAGTGGCATTTTTCTTTAGAAATTTCCAATTTGTTTTGTTATTACATTGCAGAATATGTTTGAAAATCGTAATGCAATGCGTTTAAAAATTGTGTTTGCATGCTGATTTGCCAAAGATGTACTACATCGTCTGCAAATGTATGCTAAAGACTTCAACAAAAATTGTGCTGCAACTCTTAATAGATAGTAGATGAATAGTTCATTTGGCCGAAACACACCACTATATATTAGGATACAGTTTTATTATACAGACTTATTTCTCTTTTTCGAGGAGTTCATTCCATCAGTTTGTCCAAACGTTATGTCATATTAATGATTTCAGGAAACGCTCAAAACATTATATAAGTTATATTCCTGTTTAGAAGGTTTTAAACGATTCAACTCATGTAATTAGTTCATTTGCACAATATTGTCTCAGCTATGTTACAAATACACCAGCTTTTAACATATTTGATAGATAGAAGAGAAGTAGATGCCTAATTCTAGCTAGCCATTGAATAATATAATAAAAAAGAAAGCTGACTCATACATTCAAATGCACACTTCAGATCGTTGCAAAATGTAAATATGCATTTTTTAAAAGATCTATTGTATACATGTTTTCTGACATTTAAACTTAAAATTTTACAATTTTATTTTACAATGCATTCCAATTACCTTTATGTCTCCTTTCGTTTGATGCCACAGATATGTTCTTTTGAAGACTATTCAAGAAAGGTTAATAAAATTCGCTTACCTTAAAAGTAATTTTAATGATTTCCTGTGGAGTCCATGTATCCAAAAATATATTTCATACTTACTTGTTTACATAAACGTTTCTTATTCTAAATTCTAGATTATAATACGCTTAGTACACTTTTAATATTTTTTGAAAGTGAAATATTCCGTACTCAAATGTTACGGTAACATCATATGCCTAAAACATATCTTTAACAATATGGCTTTTCTAAAATTACGAGTGAAAATAACGTTCCATTACTGTCTAAATAAAATTATTCACTTACACAATCTCCAGATAAAAGCATACAATAAATAAACCGCCTTACTTTTAGTGAGCACAATGCATATTGAAGTCCATAAAGAAGGTTAAACGTTCTTAGAAACCTCAAGTCTCAGTGCACATTATGACTAACCTGGGGCAAATATCACAGCCTTGTTGCATGAAGGCCCCTAAAGAGAACCATAAGCTATTGTAGAGGGAAAAATCATTGGAGGCATTTGGGCCCATGAAATGTTCTTCATATTTCCATTCTTGCGGAGAAAATCGGCTCACCAAAAACAGGACAACAGATACTCCAACGTAGGCGAAAATGATGCACATCCATATCTCTTCAGACAATGGGTTCATGAAGGAGAATACTCCTGGTTTTTTCTTCATTGGTTTCTTTATCATAATGCTGATCCCCAGGGACATGAAAGGTTTCGTGAAGTCAATAACCCTTTCCCTCGCTGATGTGATGGTCAACGGGGCTATGGCAATATCGGCTTCCTGCAAATAAGAAGAAATGGTATTATAGCCTTTGAAAATGGGCTGACAAATGAATATAAATGTTTTGTTTAGGAAATAATTTAACGACATTTATTCATTTCTTCGATTATCTACTTTTTAATTTAATGCATCGTTTTAGATAATATAAGGAAAGTTTATTCCTTAAATATAATGTCAGTTTAAAGGAATATTTTGCCTATAGCACACGGATGAAATAAATTAACTACATTAAAATCAATACAAAAGAGCAAGATCATAATTAGAGTTGCAACACCAAATAATAAAATTACGAGTGCATCAAATCAAATGAAAAAAAATAAGAAGCAGACATGAGATTAAAATCACTTATCATTTAAATACTTCTAGGTTTAAAGAAAATGTCAACGTTGGGTCAAATACCTCTAAAAAGGTAACTTACATTAGGCTTTCATGATTTTCGTTTAAATATAGCGTATATATTATCTGACTTTCCTTAAATTTAGGAAGATAATTCTCACAAGTTTTACGCATTTATTAATAAAAAATACCAAAATAAAGATAATCAAATTTCTTACACATTATGGCTTAGTTTCTTCATTCGGTGACAGAGTTAAAAAGTTTATTCTTGAGTATTTTTAGCACTATGAATAAAACTTGACATTAGGAATTTCAATATTAAATCATTTGGTTTAATTTTTTAGAAGTTTAAAAAATAACCGATTAAGAAGTTGGCGGTTAAAATGTCATTTTAAAAATATTTACTCTTTCACATATCGAACAAGAGTACAGCCAAGAGGCTGCATTCCATTGCCTTCTTTGGGAAAAACGCTGTCTTTCCCTAAAGTCAAGCCCTCTAGTTTCATCATCCTTGATGACTTTAGCTGATAACCTTTTATTGACAGTATCTTTGCAACAGTTCCGATTTCCTGCTTGGATTAAGGTGAGATTTAAATTTCATCTTTGACATCTTCAGCCAAATACCGATTGCATTTTTCCTGAAACAGTTTTGCAGCAGTTCCGATACAATTTGAACTGACGTGAGATTTTAATTTTCGTTCATAAGACTTAAGCCAGCAACTGAAAAGTATCAGAAAATTATACTTTTTTTCTCCCCATTTTTATTCTTTTATTGAAGTGAGCAATATCCACATCGTATCTTTCGAAATTTTTGGACTGTTACTTTTGACATTTGCCAGCCGTTTCTTTTACCACTCGACCTAGCGAGTCTAACTATTTCAATAGGCAGTATCTTTAGCTTTCATTCAACAGGCTAGATAGTAAGTTCTTGGACTCTTGCGATTGGACTTTCCATAAGATCTTTAATTTTTCTTTCAAAGAGCACAGTATGTTATTTATCTAACTGAATAATTTAAATGCAGTTAATCTAACTGAATAATTTAAATGCTTCATATTACTTACATTAGATCTAATTGATAACTATAAGGTGTTTAATATTGAATGGGACAAATCGAATAGCATAGTAGAAATTCTGTAATTAATTTATTGAGCCGAAACAAACTAATTCTGAAACTACAATTATAGTTTTACCCGACAACAACAAAAAATCTTCCGGTTACGAAATCGCCGTTAGAGGCACTGTTAATCGAAATGGCTCCATCTATGCAGTAGAAAGCGTACTATGTTTTGGAAAATGCCAAAACATCATCGTAAGGTAAAGAACCACCGCAAAGTCAAACATCGAATGGTGGGTGAAGCAGATTCAGGACATGAGCTGCTTGTGTAAAAAATCCAGATTAGAAGGAATAGCAGCCAGAAGAAAAAATTCGTGAAATTTTTAACAATGTCCCCAGAAAATCAGCTCGTCGTCTGAGTTCTGAATTCAATGTGCCTCATGTGACAGTGTGGTCTGTGCTACTGTAAAGCCTACAGTCCCGGCCATACACTTTTTAGATGATGAAGGAGCTTAAATATCTTCCGACAAACAATTGGATAAAGCTTTCTGTGAAAATTTTCAAGATAAGCTAGAGGTAGATGATTTTGAGAACAGACCTGTGTTTATGGATGAAGCCACGTTTTCCGTTTCTGGAAATATAACGTGATTCTCCATAGGTGAATTTTTTTGCGATATTTCAAACAATTGTGCTATGGGTTCTTTTTCCTTTGTGTAAAAATCGATTAAAGAAAGCATTTACCAAAATGTGCTATCAAAGTGGTTATTCGCTCAGGCGGAGGAAGCGGTTCCGAGTTCATTCTGCAGGAAGACGGTGCTCCACCACATTGTTATAAAAATGCACCCCAGTACCTAAACAATAGTCTACACCCCATCGCTGGACTAGCTGTGCTGGGTCAAACGATATGCCATAGCTTTGCTGGTCACTAAGATCTCCACATCTAATACCTTGTAATTTTTAATACGCGATCTTATTGGAGACAAAGTGTTCATATCTTCATTTCCGCAGAACTTGCAGCAACTGAAGTAGTGGATAATTGAAGTGCGCAAATCATTAACAAAATATGCTCTGTCACGAGTGTGGGAGGAACTGGAAGGCGCATAAACATTTTCCGTGTGACCGGAGGGGTATACACAGAACACCTATAGAAACTTGGCTAGCTATAGTTTCATTGTAAATTTGCTTTATAAAAATAAAATAATTACAGCGTTTACGTGTATGCTTTTTGTTTCCCATTCAATATGAAACACCCTGTAATAGAAATATTTGCCTTCTTATTGCTGTAACTTCTTGTATTAAGCATAATATTCTTCAGTACATATTAATTGCTTGTTTTTAAATTATTTTTGGTTGTCAGTGTAGGAAGAAATATTTAGAGTTTCGTCTCATGCTAAAGTCAAAACTTCATTTAATAAGCCAAGTGATTATTCTGTAATGTAGTTAAAATAACTAAAATTAACTTTTTAAGCTTTTATGAAATACCAAATTTAATAAGAAACTTTGGAAATAGTCTGTAAAAGAATACTGAAATATATACATTTCTTAATTTTTATAGCCATACTTTGTTTACCTAAAATGCATGTGCCCTTCTGTTTCGTTTGAGGGTGCATAGGTCTACATCACGTTGCAATAACCAAGACTAATAAGCATAAATGAAAGCCAAAACATTAGACTTCATTCATGTGCAAACAGACCAGAGCTTATGTTAGTTATGAAACGTACGTGAATCAAAAAGTGAAAGAAAATAAACAAAGGGAATGAAAATGTCAGCCTTGAAATGTTAATAAAATCTTGAACTGGCTATTTAAAGAACAAGTGAAATGATCTGAAATATTTCAAAAGATAACGACGTGTTAAACTTATTATAGATGCAAAGCTGCTTGGAATTCGAGAGGGCAAATAAAAGTTATGCTGCTCGTGAATCGAGAACACGAAAAGTAAACTTAAAAAAACACTAATTATCATCTTCATCTGAAGTAAGATTTGTTGAGGCTCAAATTTGCTTGATAAACTGATTAAAAGCCTAATTATTAATAAAATTAATCCTTAAATCAGTTTTCTAATTTACAAATTTCTGAATTACTTAAATTACTTCTTTACTTAAAAGTTATATTTATAGATAGAAGGTATGCAGATAAGCATCTGTATTTGTTAAAAGAGATTTTAACGCAAAATATTATTTAATTTTCCCAGTTCGGTTTATTGTTGCATTTTTATATAAAAACTACGCTTTGCTACGACACCTCTGAAAATTATGCTCGATTAATAGCTTGTGATACATTGGACTTAGATGATATATGCACTTGCAACGAAGCTTTTGCAGCTGCTAAGCCAAAAATGTTCCACAGTAGCCGACAATGTATAAATTCTACGCACGTCTAGCATCAAACAGCCTTCTGCCTGTATTCTCAATTACGGTCGTTTTCCGATCTTCTTTCTTACTTAAATCACTGAGCTAAATAAACAAGATATAATTTATACTTCATCCCTGAATTACAAAGCCGGTTATCAGAGACATGGGAGGAGTATTCTAGCAACCACATAAACGAGAAAATGGAGCTTAATAAATTAAACTGTCAATTAATTTTAGATACCTTTACAATTCCAACTAGCGTTAACTCCCAGTTATCTCAAGGGGGATTTCCCCTTTAGTCGGCAGACATTTGACTCGATTTAATTAAGTAAAATATCAAATAAGAGGCTAATTTCTTTTCTAGGGGAAACGTTCTCAGTTAGCTAATATAGGTAATGGAAACGTCCTACCTAAAAGTAAAAATAGATAAACAGGAAATTTAAAAAAGCGAAAAACTTTAATTAAACACGAAATAAAGCTTAAAAGAACTTTTCATTTCGCTGTTCAATTTGAGAGTCTAATTTAATGTATTTTGAAGTGCGTTAGCGTGACATTGAGAGTCTAATTTAAGGCATTCTGGTTCATTATCGTACTATAGTTCCTTGGTAAGTGCGCAATGGGGTAGGTTAGAATTAACATATTTAACCTGAAAAATACAAAGACTATTACGAATATCAGAGAACTTGCACTATTTCATAAGTCTAGTAAAAAAATGAGACAAAATCTGCATTTTATAAATATGGTACGCATACGCAATTATGATTTTTTATTTATGATTCGTTACCTGACAACCTGTAATTAAAGCTGTATTGATGAAAACATAATGGATATTTAATTTTCTCATCTGCGTTATAAAAAGTTTTGACAAAATACAGTCATGCTCAAAATTAAGCAATCGACGCCGAAAGACAAGATAATAATGTTAAATCTGGAATTAAAACATTACGATTTACATATGAGGTATAGGTTACATCAAAGAATGCAAAGAAGCAACCAAAATTAACATAAAACGCAATCCCGCGGTCATACCACAGAAATTTAAAAAGGGGCATACCGGACCCATGCGTTCAGTTTGCATGCAGCGATAGTTCTGTGTAATCCGAGTTATTCAAATCGGAAAGCATGACCCGTAGGTACCATTTGCACGATGAAAGGTGTTGTAAGGCTGTCACGATGTTTCAAGCTGGAGCAAGACAATCCGCTCTTGCCAGATAGCTAAATGTGCATCGTAGTGTCATCAAAAGGGATCA